ATCCTTGGAGTGGAATAAGGAGAGCTGGGATCCTTGGTGTGGATTAATGAGAGCTGGGATCCTTGGAGTGGAATAAGGAGAGCTGGGATCCTTGGCACGGCTAACGAGAGCTCAGATCTTTGGCATGGCTAACGAGCTCAGATCCTGCTTTCCAGAGGCAATTCCTCAGAGCATGCCCATGGGAATGGTTTGGTGGCTCCCTCAAGGCTGTAACTGTCTGCCTGTGGATTCTGTCTGGATTCAGGCTGCTCCTTTGCTAATGCAGACTGGTTAATGTGATATTTGCACCTGGGGCTGCTCTGAGCTGCCCGGTGAAAGGCACTGCTGCTCTGTGAACAGAAATTCTGAGATGACATCTGCACAGCAGAGCGTGCTAATTGCTGCTCTGAATCCAGACCTGCCCACCTGGAGAGCTGCTCACGCCTCACCTGCCCTGTGTGCACAGTCTGTGTCTGTGATGGGGAGCTCCCTCCACTTCCCATCCCTGAGCCGCTGGATTTGAGCAGATTGAATGGCAGGGACCATGGCACGGGGGAAAAATCCACACTTCTGAGCCTGTGAGCACAGATTGAATACAGGGACCACAGGAAAGGGTAAAAATCCACACTTCTGAGCCTGTGAGCACAGATTGAATACAGGGATCACAGGAAAGGGTAAAAATCCACACTTCTGAGCCTGTGAGCACAGATTAAATGCAGGGACCACAGGAAAGGGTCCATGATTCTGCACAATTTTTACAATTGTGAAAAAATCCACAATTCTGAGCCTGTGAGCCTGTCTTGCTCTGCAGGGCCAGACCCACATTTGTGGATTTTCTGCTGTGAGGTGAGGCTGGCTGGCTGACAGCAAAGCAAGCACATCCAGCAGGGATGAGCATGGGGATGTCTCCTGGTGGCTCCATCGTGGCTCTTATGGCAAATTTTCTGTATAAAGTGCCAGCTTCATGCTCACTTCTAGCTCACACCCCTACTAAAAATACAGCAGAAAAGGCATTTTTCTTCCAGACTTCCTGCTGTCATGAGAGAACTTGAAATCTCTGCATGCTCAGAATACAAGGCATTTACTGCAATACAAATAATTTCTAAGTTATTAAATAATGCTATTTCAAAAATACTTTTAAGGCAGCCTTAGCTTCCTGTTGAGGTCTGGATTGTGATGCTTTTCTTTTTTATTTTGTGCTGGAGTTTCCATAAGTGCTTGTGGAAAGGTCAGTAATATTCTTAGAGAGTTGAATGGCTCATCCTTAAGCTTTCCATTGGAAAACAGGAACCAAAAAACCCAGTTTTCTTCTTTGTTTGCTTAATGTCCTTTTGAAACTGCATAGATGCAATTTTCATGCAGAAAATTAACAAGTGGCAAAGTCTGACATTTCATTTGCTCAAATCCACAGCAAAAAAAATGAAAGACAAAAACCCCAAGCATTTCACGTTTGTGTAAAACTCCCACAATGTTTGATTCTTGCTGTTCTTCATTTCATAATCAATCAGATGGATACCCTGAGACTTCTTTTGCAGTAATAAATTCATTTGTGTGCCATGAAAGCAAGGAAATTATATATTTAAAATTCACCCTAACTTTAAAAAAGTATTTGTTACAAGAAAAGGAGCAAACAGTGCCACCTTGTATATTGCATTTGGATTTTTGGGTTCTTCTGGGTACTGTAAGCATTTTCCTTCAGCTAGGATCTTTTTATAGGTGGTATGTAATAGGTGTTGTTTTCTTGATATATAAAATGTACAGCTCTTCTTACACAAACAGGGTATGTTTTTTCCTTTAAAAAAACCAAAGCTCTTAGTTCAGTTGAATGGATTTATTTGCTATCCAGACTTCCTTTGTTAGCACAGCTGCTCACCTAAGCACAAGAGGGGTTTTTAATGAAGGAAGGTTGTGTTTGCTCACCATAAAGCACCAGCCTGGGATGCATTATTATAGCTTTAATTTAGCTGGTGCAGTGAGGGCAGGTTTGGGTAGAAGGGGGTTGGTTCCATGCTGTAGTGTCTCCACTGCTCTTTAAATGCTTGGGGCAGGGCTGAGGAAGCCCAGAGCTCGCCGTGCCCGGCGCTGCTCTCAGCCAGGTCTGCCATCGCAGCAGCTCATCGCTCCCTCGTGCAGGAGAGCCACAGCAGCAGCTTCTCTTTAGCTTCTGCTTTGGTGAAGCCTGTGCTCAACAGCCACATGAAACTGTTGTGTTCTGGTGCTTCTCCAGGCTTGCAAAAGCCCTTCTGGGCGGGTCCTGGAGCACCTCGGTGCGCTTTGGCTCGACAGCGAGCAGCACTAAGGGCAGTTCAGCCAAATTCTGCAGGAGCCGCTGGGGTGAATTTGGGCTGAACTTCAGAGCAATGCTGGTTCTTGTTCTTGTGGGGCTTTAATACAAATGTTAGTGTAGCAGCTTTGGAGGCTTCAATTGAATAGCAGCAGGTGGGCAAACCTCCGAGGTAGACCTGCCTTCTGGAGAGGCTGGAAAAACACGCAGGAGGGACACCCAGGTGTGCAGAGGAGCCTCAGCACTGCGGGATCCCTGCAGGGCTCTGGCCATGGGGGGAACATGCCCATTCTTTTAGCTGTAGCACTGCCAGAGCACAGGAGGAGGGATTTGCCCTTGGGAAGGTGCTGGGGACAGCAGGAATCCCTCGGTGGGATAGGGCTGCCCGTGGGTCACGTTTGGAGCGCGGGGAGGTTCGGAGGGAGGCCGGGGGGCTGCTGATCCCAAATGCTGTCTGTCCTGGTCCCTGGCCCCAGGGGCTGGCCAGGTGCTGTGTCTGATCCCAAATGTCATGTGTGTGCTGGCTCCTGGCCCCAGGGGCTGGCCAGGTGCTGTGTCTGATCCCAAATGCTGTGTGTGTCCCAGCTCCTGATCCCAAATTACGTGTGTGTCCCGGCTCCTGACCCCAGGACCTGTCCCATCCCAAATGCCATGTGTGTCCCAGCTCCTGGCCCCAGGGCTGGCCAGGTGCCATGTCTGATCCCAAATGTCATGTGTGTCCCGTCTCCTTATCCCAAATACCATGTGTGTCTCAGCTCCCCACCCCAGGAGCTGGCCACTGCTGTGTCCCATCCCAAATTCCATGTGTGTCCCGGCTCCCGGCCCTAGGGCTGGCCAGTGCCGAGTCTCAGCCCCGCTGTCCTGCAGGCCAAGGTGCGGGAGCTGGAGGAGAAATGCCGGACGCAGAGCGAGCAGTTTAACCTGCTGGCGCGGGAGCTGGAGCGGTTCCGGCAGCAGGCGGGCACGATCGAGCTCCTGAGCGGCTCCGCGGCGCCCGCGGCCCCCGGGAAGGCCCTGGCCCAGCTGGTGAACGGCATCGCCACCTCCATCGGCAAAGGTAAGGAGCCCGCCACGGGCACACAGAGCCTGGGTCTGCCCGGCCAGCTGCACCCTGC